GGCTGGTATTTCAGAACCATTTCCTGCCACCCGCTCGTTTTGTTAATTAGCCTGTAATTTCAACCTCCCCCTCTCACAAACCCTTGGTCGCCAACATTGGTATAGGATCTGATCGTAGCGGCTGCCTGAAACACGCTTCAAGTAGTTAACTTGCTAACACCACAGAACCCAGTTCTGAACAGTGTTTTTTGAGCTTAAGTACATTCTGTTTCCACTGATCATTCTTGAGATGTTTCAGCAGCTTAATTAGAGTTCACATGTGGTAAATTTAGGTGTTTGTACATAATTTGAAAAGGCATACACTTGTCTATATATGCTCTCAGGATTGAAAGTGCATGTCGAAGCACAAACCAAGCATGAAGGCAAAAGAATTGTCTGTAGACCTCTGAGGCACAAGGCTGGGGAAGGTTTCAGAAAAATTTCTGCTGCTCTGAAAGCTCCAATAAGCACAGTGGCCTCCATCATCTGTAGGTGCAAGATGTTTGGAACCACCAGGACTCTTCCTAGAGCTGGCTGCCCATCTAAGCTGAGTTGTTGGAGGAGAAGGGCCTTTCAGTCAGAGAGGTGATCAATAACCCGATGGTCACTTTATTAAATCTTGATTAAATCACACTGAACTGAGCTAAACTGAACTGAACTTAAACACTAAAAACACTAAAAACTGAACTACACTGTTCCAGTTACTATGACCATTTATGTGAAGCTGCTTTGACACAATCTACATTGTAAAAGCGCTATACAAATAAAGCTGAATTGAATTGAAATAAACTTTGTCTGAGCTCCAGCGTTCTTCTGTGGAGAGAGGAGAACCTTACAGAAGTACAACCATCTGTGCAGCAATCCACCAATCAGGCCTGTATGGTGGCCAGACATAAGCCACTCCCTGCCTGGAATTTGCCGTAAGGCATGTGAAGGATTCTCAGACCATAAGAAAGGAAAGTCTCTGGTCTGATGAGACTAAAATTGAACTCTGTAGTGAACGCCAGGCTTTACGTTGGGAGAAAACCAGGCACTGCTCATCACCAGGCTAATACCATCCTTTAGCAGCAGGAACTGGAAGACTAGTCAGGATAGAGGGAAAGATGAATGCAGCAATGTACAGAAACATCCTGAATGAAAACCTGCTTCAGAGTGCTCTTGACCTCAGACTGTGGCGACGGTTCATCTTCCAGCAGGACAATAACCCAAAGCACACCGCCAAAATATCAATGTAGTGGCTTCACAGCTACTTTGTGAATGTCCTTGAGTGGTCCAGCTCGAGCCCAGACCAAAATCCTATTGAACATCTCTGGAGAGATCTGAAAATAGCTGTACACCGTCGCTTCCCAACTAACCTGACAAAACTTGAGAGGTACTGCAAAGAGGAATGGGCAAAAATTCCCAAAGACAGGTGTGCCAAGCTTGTGGCATCATATTCAAAAAGATTTGAGGCTGTAATTGCTGCCAAAGGTGCATCAACAAAGTGTTGAGCAAAGGCTGTGAAAAATTATGTACATGTGATTTTTTTTTATTTTTTTTTTATTTATTTTTTTTTTATAAATTTTGGAACAATTTCAAAAAATGTGGTGGTCCACTCAACTAAAGTCTATGTGTGGGAAACACTGAAAATTGTACCAATCACCACCCTTGTTTGTTAGTCAGCTGACCTGATATGGCCTCGCTGTTGAACTGTGTAGCTTCTGGCATGCTGGTCTTTCAGACCAGGCACTTTACTGTATTGATCTCTAATTGATGCAACGCACATGATGAAGCTCAGAATATACAGTCTGGGGCACTGTGTCCAGCTAAAATTAAGATTACTCTTTATTAAGCTCTACATCACTTTTACATGAGCGCTTTATGGCTGAGTTTCATTGACTTATTGGAATTGCTATATGGCTTACAATGAGAGGAATAACAAGCAAAAACTGAATGGCTAGTATAATTTCAGTCATAATCCATGTTTTTGGTACAATGCAGCAACGTGTATGATTACCTTTTTAGGAGCTCTTTTTTCACATCACATGTTTTTTTGCCGAAGGTGGAGAGCAAGTGGTCTTTTGTGGCCATTTTGACTCATTTGACCCATGTGTGTTTTCAGTATGAAAGGGATTTGATAATGCTCTTTCTAGTACATTTGATAGTGGTTAAAATTGGACATGCTCAACATGTTTTAGAGACCATTTACATTGTATTTGACGTTCTCCACTTTGTGATTAGATTGAATGGAATTCATGTTATTATATGCTACAAATGACCTTAGTGTTTTGTGCATTTAGAATGCTTTCATGGGTAGGTCCAGTGTTTTTGGAGCAAATCTCTGTCCTTTCTAAAATATTTGATTATTTGCTTATCATATTAGATCTGGGTGATTAATCAAAGGGGATTTTTGTGTAAGCATCTTGTCAATAAAAAACAGTTCTAGTATAGTTCCAGCATGTGCTTTTAAATGGAGCTGTATTAGTGGTAGCTTAATCCACTTGTGAAATCATGACGTTTGGATTACTGTTTCCAAATCCAAGCTGCTAGTAATTAGAATAAAAAAAAAATTATGACCACTTTTTAGTCAAATCACACATTAAAGTAAATCTTATATAAAATCATGTTGTACATGACAGTCTCTGGACTGGCCGCATCAATATTTTAACAATATATAAACAAATCACTTTCTGGCCATCTGACATATAGATCATGATTTTCAAATGTATTGCAACACTTTGAAAATGTTTATTATTAAAATTTTTTTGAACCTCCACATACAGTTTGACTGTAAACAGTAGTCACTTTGCATGACACTTAACAAGCCCATGTATCGTTAATCTACACAGAATATTTGGAGTTTCCGCACAAGAAAAACCTCTGGCCTCCTTTGGGGATTTACTATTGATCATAGAGCTCTGCTTCCTCTAAGATTTTCATGACATTTGTAACCTTGCTTAATCACTATTGTGAAGCCTTAAACATACTCAATAACTTGTCCTGACTTATAACTTAGGGCTGTGCAATTAATCGAAAATCCGATTTCGATTTTGGCTTCTAACGATTATGAAAAACCATTAATCGAGATTAATGATTATTGCATCATATACTGCCCCCGTTCCAGTTGTACACATGTTGCTCTTAAAAGCGCAAACGAGAAAGCGCACACACACAGTCAGAACAGTAGCATTCGGTCTCATTCGCACACTGAGACGAGCAGAGCACACTCATCTAAAGTCATCTTAACGTGAGCGCTTTAATGGTCAAATAGGTGTCAAAACGCAGTGTTTAGTGATTATTCATATTGACCCTCATTTGTGTAATAAACAAGTCGAGAATCAATAGACAGAATATTTTTATCTATTGTATTTATTTCCTTTTCCTTTCCAGGGAGGAAAATAACTGCAGTTGACGTCAGAATTATAAGCCCTCCTGAATATTAGCAACCCTTTTCCCCCAATTTCTTTTTAATGGAAAGAAGATTTTTTTCAACCCATTTCTAAACATAATAGTTTTATTAACTCTATTAACTGATTTCTTTTATCTTTGCTATGATGACAGCACATAATATTTTACTCGATAGTATTCAAAATACAAGCATTCAAATTCAAAGTGTGATTCAAAGGCTTAATTAGGGTAATTAGGCAAGTCATTGTATAACAGTAGTTTCTTCTGCAGAACATCAAAAATATGTTGCTTAAGGGGGCTAATAATATTGACCTTAATATAGGTTTCAAAATATTTAAACGCGTGTTTTTTCTAGCCAAAATAAAACAAATAAACCTTTCTCCTGAAGAAAAAATATTGTAGGAAATACAGAAAAATTCCTCATTTGGGAAAGATTTGTTTAAAAAAAATTTCTCTGGAGCGCTAAATAATTTTGACTTACACAGTAATCGTTTTGATTAATCATGATTACAATTATGACCAAAATAGTTGTGATTATGATTTTTCCCAAAATCGAGCAGCCCTACTGTAACCCTCAGTTTGTTTTTGTTAAAAGTCGCCAAAAATGTTACATTCTGTACCCTAAATCCACAGTTATGAAATGTTATGAGGCTGTTGGTAAACTCCCTGCTTTAAAACCATCTTAACAAGCTTAGCGGTCCAAAACTGCATTGTGTTTTTATTTCAAGATTGAAAACCAGCTGTTATTGATTCCAAGTTTTCACAGAGTTAGAGGCCAGTAAAGGCGAAATATTGCATTCAAGAGGGCTGGCTCTGAAAAGCAGCCATTTTATTTGCACTGTAAAAACCAGAATTGAAGTACCATGCCAAGTTCTGGGGCGATTGTTGAGACTTTCTGTGTGTTTTAATCACTTCTCTTTATTGGTGTTTACCCTACTGCAATAGGAGAGTATGGCCTGTCTCTCTTCATATGTTGTTCTCCCCACTCACCTCACTAAGATTTTGCTGGCAGGGATGTCCTGTGGAGTGCACAGGGGAGAAGATATTAATAATTCAGTAGCATTTCTTCCTAACTTGACGAAATCAGCACGCAAGGGCAGCGGAGTTACCGTAAGCTGGTCTGAGTTTAGCTGGGGACGTGCACGCATGCCCTTGATAATAAAGCCCTATTGAAGCTCTTGAGTGACCAAAGAACCATGCTTTTATAGTGACCACTTAAAGACTGTTGCCACATAACTTGGGGTTTGGTTTGGAAAAGAGGTTCTTATTTAAATAACACAATCCTATTCTTTCCTGTTATGTTTGTAGATGCATGTCTCTCCATTTTGTTACATGCTAACATCTGCTTTTGTGCATTAATCAAACTGAACAATAGAATTATGACAGTAGATATGTAGGACAAGACAAAGAAGTGCCAGTGACCTGTTTTACCTCTGTCCCACTGCTCCCAGCATTTAAAACTGGGGCTTTTTAAAGGATTCATGCAGTGATCATGTCATGATGAATCAAGCACAAACAGTTATGTGGTCTACGAAGCATGTGATATTCGCAATTCTTCTCCAAGGAGAGTTTTAGCCTTTATGTCCTGAATTAACCTTCGTTGTTTATATCCTCTGGTTGGTTTCTCATTGCAGGTTTACAAAGGGCTGGACATCATCACCAACAAGGTTACAGAGGAAGAGCAAGCCCAATGTCACCATCATATGATCAGCTTTGTGGATCCATTGGTTAGTGGCTACACAGTGGTGGACTTCAGGAACAAAGCTCTTTCTCTCATATCCTTTAATGCATGCTTCAGAATCCAGAGTCTGCTTGAGTGGATGAAATTTTTTTATTCTTTTTTTATCATGTCTGTGCTTAAGTCAGGTAGAAATGACTAGTTATTTTTTAACAAGTCAGTTATGAGATGTACAGAGTGTACTTTTTCCCTCCCATTTTGCTAATGGACACAGTTTTAGACAAACCTGAAGCAGAACATTAATGCATCTCTGAGTTATTTTTTCATCCACTTATTTTTTGTACGTTCTGCGTAGATTAACTGTTAACCGAAAGGGTGCATTTCATTCTTCATTTTTCTTTTTAATTTTTGATGCAAGTTTTTCATAAAGTGATGAATTTGTTCCCTTTGGATAGAAACTGCTTTATTTACAAATGTTGTCTGTGATATCCTAGTTTTGCGCATCAATCTAATTCGCTTCTTTGGAATGAAACATAGCTATTGTTGTGTTTTATGTTGTGTTTGGGTTTAAATTGTATTCATGGCCATTTTAAACTAGCCAACTTGCCAGCATATACAACACTTTATAGTAGAAATGTCATTTAAGGTCAGAATAACAACGCATGGGAAAATGAGTGCCGTTTAGCAGCAGTGAGGACATTGTAAAATAATTTAACTTGACAATTTGTAATGTTCCATTATGTATTTGAATAGTGATGGTTGGTTCTTTACTTGAAAGCTCAGATTTAATTATCATAATTATTTGTGTACAGAGTTTGAGGTTTACTGTATCATTATTATTGATACCTTACAGATGTTGATCTACTTTTACCTTTGCAGAAACTTTTTAACATTTAATTTATCAAGTTTAAAAATCTCTTTAACACTTATGTTTATTTTATTATAAAGGTATTTTAACATTATGACAAAAACATTCTAATATTTTGAAATGTATTGTTAAAAAATAATAATTATCGATATTGAATATGAAGAAATGTGATATCGTGAGAATTTATTTGAAATATCACCAAGCCCTAGTTGGCTGGATGACTAGCTGGCCGATATGTCCAATCTATGCTCTTTATAATTAATGGTTGTAGAGATTCATTTAGTTGACAGGCGCTTCTAAATATAAATGCTTTTTATTTAGCCTCTGCGGATGAAATTAATGGGCCATTACTCAGCCGTTTAAGATATGATCTGCAAACCTCTTAATGAACGCTCTGAGTAATTGTTTTTTTAAAATGTCGTTGCCTCTCTAACATCAGTGACACGGCTTTTGTGAAGACTGCGGCCTTGTTTGAATGCAAATCCCAATATTTTAATTTTTGCGTCTTTTGTGGAATGTGGCATTTCCCAGTGCGCCACATGAATGGCTCTGGCATTTTCTGAGTGGGCGCTGGGTTGTACTCCCTAGATATGCTCTTTCAGTAAATGCAAGGGCATAACTAGAAATGCGTGTAGCAGAGACGGAGAAAGACGCGTCGCTGTCCTCGTTTTCCCCGCCCGTCTGCTGCAGATGTTTGCGGAGAGATGAGGAGGATATTAATAGCTGAGGGAGATGCTGTGAGGAGGTGGGGTGGGTCTCTCTCTCTTTCTCGCTCTCTCTCTCTTTCTTTCTCTCTCTGTGTGTGTGTGTGTGTGTGTGTGTGTGTGTGTGTGTGTGTGTGTGTGTGTGTGTGTGTGTGTGTGTGTGTGTGTGTGTGTGTGTGTGTGTGTGTGTGTGTGTGTGTGTGTGTGTGTGTGTGTGTGTGTGTGTGTGTGTGTGTGTGTGTGTGTGTGTGTGTGTGTGTGTGTCTGGAGGAGCACTGCCGCAGACGCCTCAGACATTCTTGCACAGCAGTTGAGGAGTGGCGGGAGATGAGAACACTGCTTCTGCCTCCATACTGAAGAGCAACAACACCTACTGTACAGCAGTACAGGGTTAATCAGAAGTAACGATCTTATTTAGGTTTATGAGATATAACAAAATAAAATTGACTTTTGTTATAGTGGCATAGTTTGACTATGAAGTTTATTTTAAAAGTAAAGCAAGACATTTACGAGTTGTGTGTAAATGAACATTCTGAGCTTTATGCCCTAAATCAAAAACACAATTTTAAATGAGAATGTAGCAACGGCGTAAATATTACTCAAGTAATTTTTGTAGATTTAGAAATTAAATCTGCTCGTGTTATATTGTAGGATGTGCAAGGTCAAATTGAAATTGTAAGCAATTTCCATACATATAGACCTTTCTGCAAAATAACCGTCAATTTTTCGGAAAAGTCTGTATGTGTGAACAGGCCCTTTTTGAAAATATCGTTACATTCGTTTGGGCAATTTTCCGAAATAAGAAGTTGTAAAATTACCGGTAAAATGCCAGAATGCTGCTCTGTTGGAACACAGATGGAAAATTGGCAGAAATAATGCGATCACGATTAGAACGTGTTGACGTGAGATGTCTTCTCCAGCCAATCAGAACATTCAGACGCATTCACATCTGTGCTGTTTATGAAAATAAAAGCCTTTCAATTAAGGCTGGGCCGATAAATCATATTATATCGAATTGCAATTGAAATTTGTCGATAACAATAAGCTCTGGACTTTTTTTTACTCTTTATTGATCTAAGAGCCAAATACACAACATAAATGTACAACAACGGGAATTTAGAAGCGTGTTAATATTAAAGGAAAATTTACTGAAAATTGATGTTATGCCACTTATAGACCCTCTAATTTCTCTGGCTTCAGTAATTAATGGGATACTCTTTTAAATCTGGAAGGATTCATTTATATCGAAAAATATATTACTATCGTTCATTATGGAAAATAATTACAGAGATTGCTTTTTTGCCTTATTGCCCAGCCCTACTTTGAATCCGTCTCCAGACACATTTAGCTGCTGCGTGTTAGTCAGATAACATTTCTATGTTCATTACTAATGCCAACTGTGGATGAAATTATTGGTAATATGCTTAGGATAAACTGCTGTGAGTTTACCTGAAGGAGTGCTCTGGTGAGTACATTTCGACATGTGAAAGTGTTCCTCCATATGTTTACATTGAAGTTGTTCACAATACTTATCCATTCACAGAATTTGTAATGTAATCAAAAGTTTAAACATTTAGCTGCAGTTTGCGCTTCCTTTGGATGTCTCTGCGACAAAAGCAGCTGCTTTAACTAAAAGTGAAACTATCAACAAAAGCCTGACCCCTATTATGTTTACAAATACAAGCGCAACCGTTTAGAGGCCATGTCTGATCAATGATATCAAAATTTACCCGTATTTTGGAATGGATGTGTGAATGGTCTTTTCCGTAAAAAATCCGGAGTGTCCTTACCTGTGTGAACAGCGCTTTTTTTTTTAACTTACCGGTTAAGTCGTTCCGGAAATTTGCTGGATTTTTAACGATATCACTGTGTGAAGGTGGCTATAGTCGACCAGGCATCACAGTGTGGAACACATTTGATTTGTGGATTTAATTGCAAAGTTGAAACATAATAGTTAATTATTGGCTCATGGCCTGTTTTTGTTAAATTTCTAAAAGTTTTAATTGTACAATATTTTATTACTTTTTGTTTAATATTTTGGTTTTAATAATCACAATCAATGCAATTTAATTACTGAATTCTAGTAAAAAGTATTGGGAGAATGGTCTATAAATGCTCAAGTAAATATTGAAGTAGAATAAGCAAGACAATTTATTATCTAAAATTTACTAGTGTTGTCACGATACTGGAATTTGATACCAATCGATACTGTAATTTTAAAAAATTCCATTTCCCGCAAACATTTGAGCACTACTGAGCACATTCTTAAACATCGCTGATTGCCATTGTGTTCACATGCTTAACAGAAATGACTGTGATTGGCTGTGAAGGTCATCGGTTTACCGAACTCAACCGATGACCTTCACGACCAATCACAGTCATTTCTGTTGAGCACATGAATACTAAGGCTGCGTCCGAAACCGCCTACTACTCAGTAGGTACTGTATTTGAATTTAAATGTACTACTCGGCCGTTAGAAAAGTACGTTCTATACAGTATGAATTTGAAAAGTATGAATGGAATTCGGACGTACTACATTCGCCATTTTGTCATGGTCACGTGACCTACCTGCGTCAGTTGCGTCGCCTCACTTCCGTTCATGAATTCTCTCACGGGGCATTATGGGATGCGCACTTCAAAATCTTGCCAGAAGTAGTAAGTCATCCGGGTACTTCTCGCCTACAGATTTTCGAATTCTATGAATTCGGACATACTACTCGGCTCGCAATCTGATTTTAGCATACTATATAGTATGGAAGTATGCGTTTTCGGACACAGCCAATGTCAAATCCGTGCTGTTTTGGAACGTGCTCTACAGCACTCAAATGGTGGCAAGAAATGGACTGCACGGATTGGTATCGAATTCCAGTATCATGACAACCCTAAAATGCATTACAGTATGATGACAACCCTAAAATGCATTACAGTAGTATTTTTTTTCTCGTTATCTTAAAATATGTATTCATTACACTTGAGTTTTTTTTTAAAAATAAGCTCCAAAAAGGTTTCTTTTTAAAATAATTTTTAAGTTCACTCCCAAATTAAATCTACACAATCTATAACGATTCAGTTTTTACAAACATATCTATTCTGGCAAAAATTAAAGTTATTTTCACAATATAAAACCACACAGAAAAACCAAATATTGTAATTTCGGTATATTCCAGGTCCAAAAGTATGAAGATATGAAAAGAAATAATGTAGAGTTATATTCAATCTTGTCCATTTAGAGATCTTTAAGTACTTGCATCTCTTGCAATCTGTTCCTCTGTCTCATTTTTTTCTCTCCTCCTTTTTTCATTTTCTCCACCTCCATCCCCAAGGATCACAGCGATGTGGGTGGGGTGGATGAGTTTCTTTGTGCTGCCGGGCTACTTTGATTTTGATGCATGTGACCTGGAAGTGTGTCTGAGAGTGTGTGTTTGACCGTCTCGAGTGAGTGGGAGTGCTGATGCGTTTTCTCGTATTGAAGCAGTTATCAAATTGCTCCTTGGAGATGCCATTTATTACAGTCTTTAACAGAGACCCGGCAGCCATGTTGAACCAACTGCCCTCTCATGGCACCAAGCCTGGACATTATTGTTGATGTAGCTATAGATCTGAGAGTATGATATTGCATTTCAAGCAGTGGTGCACTTTGCCGTCCGACCTATTGTGGTTGCTCACGTATGATCTTTGTGCATAATTTATGCACTGCTTGTAACTGTGTGGCGTCAAAGGATGTTTATTTGAAAAATTTATTTATTGTCTGGGAGATGTCTGACTTCCTTAATGTGCTACATAGAAGACATGCATCATCGGAAGAAGCTCCCTGTCATTGTTGGAGGCACAAACTACTACATTGAGTCCATTTTATGGAAAGTGCTCATCGACACTGGGGTAAATGTTGATTTTAGTGTTTCTTGTGTTTAATCAATGGGGTATATGCACAGCTAGTGTCTTTCAGCCAATAATAAACGTGACTGTTTTCCATTTCATAAGGTTTCTTTTACAGCATTGATGTTGTAATGTAGTTAAAATATAATTAGATTAATAGACTTCGTTTAGCGTTCATTTAGTTCTTCAATCGTAAAACCAAATATATACATAAATATATATTCACTATATATATCATCAATACCGCCTCCATGTTTGTACAGTGCTCTCAGCACAATTGTCATTCAACCGCACTAGTCAAGACTAACGCCCATCTGAAGATGCTGGACTTTCTCCTGAATATGGGTGTAGTATGTCAAACAAAGAAAATTAACCATAAAGGCATAACGTTTTATAGGAAAGATTTATTTTATACGGACTTTTCCGCTAAAGTATTTTTATTGATGATAATACAGTCACTTACTGCCCTGACCGTAACATCCGATTCACATGGGGGTTCAGTGCTAATGGAGGGCGTCTCTGAAGTTGGGGCCGACGCGATCATCATAGCAGCGTCAGCCAATGAAGTAAGTCCACAATCAGCCACTATCTGAGCCGGGGTATTTGCATAAAGTGATCTGATTGGCTGGCACTTACATTGGTATGCCTCCAAAGTAAATTGGAAGCGTTTACGCTGAAGCCCTGTATGAATGGGGCATAAGGCAAAGTAGCACCAACTTGCACTAAATTCTAGCCTTATGCTAGTTATGCTTATTAAAATCAGCAAACAATGTAAATGAAACATGACAAGACGCAGCAGTGCCAGAAACTTTTATTATTGTCAGCTAAGTGAAGTAACGGCTAGTTTTTGAAGTAACATAAGATTATAATAAAACAGTGCCTGTGCCTCAATGTGCATACTTTCCACCCTGAATTATTGAATGCTACAAATGTTATATACCATTTAGATCAGAAATTATGGATATGCAGTTGAGACGAAGGGATATTGATGGTTTACATGAGTCGTTCTTAATGGAGATTCATCCATTAACAAATCTCCCTCTTCGTTACCTTGTGCGTTCACACCGAAGGTGGTGAGAGAATCAAAGTTCACTCTGGTCAGCCTGGCGACAATGCTGTCTGCCTTCACAGCTTTGTTGGTGAGCGTGTTAGAACTCACTACATTGATCTTGAATTTAAAGGAGCCGTTGCAGCATATCAGCAAATCAGTTTCATTCCCGCATTAAAACATGCTTTCAATGGTGAAAATATTTTACACTTTTTATCAGATTCATTTAACTATGGAAGATCTAGTTGGAATAATAATAATAAAAATAATAATAATAATCAAATAATCAAAGCCCCTATGATCAAAATCTTTGTAACAAGTGTGATCAGAACCGAAGTTCTCGGGGCTGTGTTCTCTGAACTCCTCTCAAATAGTGGACTTCTACATTCCGATTTCTTGCCGCTGAAGCAGGTCATTGCTGATTACCATAAAGTTGACTTGATTTCAACTCCCCTCGACGCCCACCTGGCGAAGATGTGCTGCTCACTGCTTATCGCCACCAGCTTCCATTGAAAATAAATCACTACTGGCTGCTTTGTTCTCGTCACTTACGGTGTGTAAGCACAGTTAAGTGCAAGAGGTGGTGTGTTTCAGGAATTTTAATTAAATCAACTTTAACAGGATGGATAATACATTTCCATGCATACAAACACATGCTCTTTGTTGGCGATGCTCGTGCGGCTGGTTATCCATCCATCCATCCATATAAAAAGTGATTAAAATTAAAAATATTTGCTTGCTGACTACTGCATCGCGTAACCACTAGCACTGTCAGTAGTAAAATACTGGGTAAAATAAATTTCCTTTTTTTATTATTTTTTTTTTTTTAAAGGCATGGCATGGAAAAAATGGAATTTAATGTAGCGCTGATACCCACTTTATATGGTAAATCAATCAGGCTGTGAAGATCACTGATTTTTGAAGAAATCAGATCTTAAACATTGTGATTTTGTAATGGCGTAGCAGTTACTGAAGTTTAAAGCCTGCGTGTAAATACCCCATTTCTCTTTTTTTAAAACCTAGTGGACTGCCTACATGGGAAGCATTCTGAATTTTGATATTCTTTAATGTTTACGGTGCTCCCTTGGTAGTAGTAAATGAGGCAGCTTATTTTGAAATGGCTAGTAAGTTTTAGTGATATTAAGAAGAATTTTGTGCATCTATTGGCAGAGATGATCTAATCGAGTCCTCCTCTGTCTGAAACTCAGCAAGGGAGTGACACAGAGCCAGAAAAAGGTGGAGGTGCTGATTCAAGAGCGGGGCTAGAAAAACTGGGTGGTCCTGAACTTCACAGACGGTTAAAGGAGGTGGATCCTGACATGGCCGCCATATTGCACCCTCATGATTCACGAAAGATTGCAAGGTATTTACTTTTGTGATAAAGCAAAGCATTGAGACAAAGCATTATTAGACAGAAAAGCTTCTAACTAGAGCTGTTAGCAATTTTGATTTCTATTTTGACTTCCAATGATTCTAAAAAACAGTAATTGAGATTCAATGATCGAGTTGTATCCTACCCACATTTGTATTTAGCTAATGTTTTTGCTGTATTGTTGAATTTCATGATCTCTGATTAGTATAGGTGTAATAGCAATCTTATTTACAGAAAAAAATTTGATTAAAACAATCTCTGGTGTGACCTAATAGGGTTTATTTGGAAAAGAGTATGGATGCTTCTATCTAAACCTTGATGTATACCATATAAGAGGAAGATAAAGCTAAATAGATTTGTGTGCTTCAAAGTTACATGGACCACAGACATCTGAACAAATCTAAAGCAGGACAGGGAACACACTGTCACCTTAAAAAGGATGTAATGCTCAAACATACACTATTTATTTGCTTTGGACTTAAATGGTAGTGTGAGTTTCTTTTTCTTTATTTATTTTTTTATTATTTGCTTTGAGCTGAACAAATCTATTTAACAATTCTGTGCACTTCCTGCCCTACGAGTAAGTTTGATTTAGGTTGGATCTTGATACAAAGCCCAAAGTCTGCATTGGTTTTTGCATCACATGCACTGTTCTCATAACTTTTGCCATGGTCACACTAGAGTTTGAGCATGTAAAATTCTGTCTATGGCTCTGCGTAAAGGGTCAGGATTAAACGATGATTAGACATTAAAAAAAGCAAGCGATTGGTCCATATTTTATATCTGTATAAAGAAAGGTCATGTTTTGATCTTCGATTGGTCTCACGCACTCACATGATGCGATTTCGCAGGTCAGAGTTCAGCAAGCTTGAACTTTGAAACACAGCAAACTGCGAAACCTGTCGCATGAGCCTGCGTTTCCAGTCTGTCGCATACAGCAGATTTTAGCTTCAACCCCAATTAAACACCTGAACCAGCTAATGTAGACATGCGATAGACATCGCAATCATGAGCCAGCATTGCAATCTTCCACCCTGCCATTATATCGACAGATCATTCTACCTATTTATGCCAGAGTCCCACGGAAAAAGTGAATGACGTGGTAATTTGTGTGTAACTTATCTTTATTTATGATTTAGTTATGGCTAAAACAAAGACCATGCAGGTCAGGTAGTTGAAACGAAATGCTATAAATAATTAATTTGTTATGAATTAATTAATTATTCATAAATTTCCCTACAACGACGATGACATCGTCCATCGCGATGTTTCACATTAGACATCGTACAATGCCAAATTATATAATGTGTTTTTCATGTGTCATGAAACATCTAGAATATAGTCTTGACTTTGCATGTAAGTTTGTAGAACTCATTCTGACATTTTTAAATTATGGCCATCAAGTCAAATACCTTAAGAGCGCAGTAGTGGTAGTTCACGGCACTTGAACCCACAACCTCTTTGAATAGCAGCCCAGATCCTTTACCACCTCACCCTGTTTACTACTTTATCATTTATTTCTCTATCAGTAAATGCTATTTAGGTTTGCCTCTCACACTTTCTTACAGCAGAGTTGAAGGGAACTTGAATACTGTCTTGCCATCATAAAATTGAGCTTTTTTTGGGCTGCATCTATTTTTCCACCTGTGTGGGAGAGCTGCTGTGGCTTCCAAGTGTGTTACACATTTTCACATGCTTCAAATGGTGTTTGATTGGTATCAGGGGGCCGATTAGCACCTCTTGTGAGCACTGTGTACTTGGTTAATTGATGCCAACCTGTGTGCCACTGCGTCTGCAGTATTGCTGAGCTCCTCTCCCACCATTCAGAGTGCTGATGTCTCCTGATATCAGCTGCCTTTAAAGAAACAAGCTCGATAAATTCCCAAGCACTTTCTCTTTAGCGTGACAGAACTTACTTGTTGTTGTTTGCGGTTCATCATGTTCTTGTTTGGTATGTGGTGTGCTCTTTCAAAATAATTCGTTCACGTGAGAGGTTATTTGGTATGCGGAAAGTTTTTGTGTGTTTGAGAAAGGCATTGTCATTTTAATTGAAATCATTTGCCATTTTGATTCCGTGTAGATGGCCAATTGATTGGATAATTTATTGACAGGAGTCTGCAGGTGTATATGGACACCGGAGTTCCACATAGTCGACTTTTGGAGGAGCAGCGAGGACAGGATGGAGGAGATTGTCTTGGGGGTCCCTTGCGGTTCCAGGATCCTTGCATCTTCTGGCTGAACGGCAAAACAAATGGTCACTAGCTGCCAAATATTATAGAGCAATTTTGTAACATGTCTTGGGTGTTCTTATTTAATTTTCTTCTTTATACTCACCTTTAGTTCTGGATGAGAGATTGGACAAGCGTGTGGATCAGATGTTGTCACTTGGGCTGATTGATGAGCTTAAAGATTTTCACCTGCGCTTCAATGAGAAGATGATCAAAGAGAGCAGGTAGATCTCTTTGCTGTATTATTGAACATTTCAAAATATGGTTATAATTAGGGATGCACCGATATAGGTTTTTTAGCCGATATCAAAAACCGAAAACTCTTAGCCGATATACTATAGCTGAAAAAAATTTATTTTTCAAATTGTTATATTTTATATTTTGTTTTAAAAACAATTTCATAAAAGTTTTAACTGATCTTAGAATGGTTTACTCAAAGCAAAAAGCTCAAAGTTGCAAGGTGATTATATAGACCTTTATTCATTATTTCACGTAAATCAGTATGCCAAAAAGAACTTATTTCCTTTTCTTTGCATAGTAAATCAACATGTATATTGACTGTTGCATATAAACAATTGGCTAAATAACAAAATGGGATTTAATTAACAAAGTTAAATATTGTTTAAATAAAATGAAAGAACTGAAGAACTGAGACCAGCTCAAATGTTCCTGATTAATTATATTAACTTGTTTTGAAAGGTGTTTTGACAGTTAAATACAGATTCGGCCAGATTTGGCCCATTTTAGATTCTTTTAAACACATGTAGGTGCTGATTGTCAATTAGACAATGCTTCTATGTTTTTTCTTGCTGTCAATTGTGGTAAAATGAACGGTAAAAGGTTTATGATAAACCGTTGTAAGTTTCAAACTTTAACTGAAGGCCCTGTGTGATGCGTGTGCACGCGAAGCGAAGTCAGATTTATCCTCTGAGTCAAATTTTGATACAAAGTTTGATGACTTTTGAGTCAAATTTTTGAGTTGAAATTTTGTTCTATGCTGATAAAACTTAATACAATCTTACATCAACACATGGCAAGCAACATGTTGATAATAACTATAGGTGGGCATAGATTATTATTTTATTTTTATCTGGATTAATTTTTTTGCCGAAGACATTCAGAATATAATATGTGTGCTACCCAAATAATAAGTCTTTGAGTACGGGTTTCTCAAGCCAGGTGGCGCATTACTCTCACCAGTCCTTAATCCGAATTTGCGTCTAATATCCCAGTTTGTCATGGGGGCATGAATGAAATGTTCATGAGTAAAAGTAAAACTGCCGAACTGCAGTTAAAGTCAGGCATCCTGCTGATTTGATTCAGACGAGCACTATTTTGTCAGACAGCTCACCGGTTAGGTACATATCCGCGCTAAAATATCAAGGTTAAAGTCATCATAGCTGACTTTAGAATAGACCCAGCTCCCAACCCAACTTTGAGAATGCACGAGGCAGGCTGTTCTGTACAATTACGTAACCTTAAATTTATCTGCCTAATTTTGATATCGGATCAATAACATTACAAATATAATTTATCGGCCGATAACGATATGGCCACTCATATATTTTGCATCCCTAATCAAATTATTTGCCTTACTCTGAAGACAGTAATATGATAAAGGTGTTTACATGAGTTGCTTAGTGAGTGTTCCTTTCATGTTCCCCTTATAAACGTTATAGTACCTAGCTCGATTAACGTCATTGTCACCATTCGACACTAGTCTCCTCCTCCAATTTACGCAACAACAGTTTGTCTTCGTCATCACAACATATGTGATTTTGTGCTTTTCGTTTTTAATTTTGCTCAACTGCAAAAAGATAAAGCGAAAAGTACTACAAAACGGCAACTGTCTGTACAGCACTTCAATAATGCGACTAAAATAGGAATACTCCACAACCTAATTTGATTTCTGTTTAGTTGAATTATGACTTTAGTTTGATAAAGATAATTAAATCGCAGTTTACATGGAAGACTCTTAGTCGGAGTATTGTTTTAATCATATTAAAACAGAGTATTGGTGTCTATGTAAACGTGCTGATTGACGTAGCTAATATTTACCAAATAAATTTTGCATTTCAAAATGGGTTGTAATTTAGTGTTGCTTGCATGGATTGACGAGTGTCTATAATGTCATTTTTCTAGTGTACAATATCAGTCACCCTGTCTTTTGGGCACTTCTGTAGTTAAGGATCCTCTATTTGGAATATGAAAATGGGTCAGATTTGTTTTGTGTTCATAATTCTTGTATTACCTCTCAATGAAGCATGTGAAACATGACTGCGTGACACAATAGCTGCACAGCTGTCTTTTCTTTTCTTCAACTGTCAAAGCTATACAAGAAAGCAAAGTTTGCTGGCTGAACCTGTTCTGCATGTCAGACCTTTGAATTTAACAAGTTCTAGCAGGTTTAGCACTTGCTGTTCCTGTCTGGAGAGAGTTCTTGTGAAGTAATGGTGGTGGAAATCCAGGGTTTTGACAGGTGAAACGTTTTCAATATCTGATGTAATTCAAGCTGATTTTTAGCAAAGTCACTATGACAGTCTCAAGGAATTAAGTAATTTTAGAGTACATGATGTTACAAAAGTATGCATAGTTTGAAGGATACTAATCCAGACTTACTGCTGCATAACATTTAATGTGAACATGATGACATTAGCTTTAAACTTATTAAAGGTGCATTAGCTATTCAGTTCATATTTATAAAGGTCTCGTCATGCAAATTGTTT